TATTGCTGTCCATGTCCCCACAAACCATAATACAACCAACTCCTTGTAGAAGAACTCTTCATAAACAGAATTTGAGTAGAGTAGCCAGAGCTTTCCTTGCCCCAGCCTCCCTTGGGAACCTGCCAGAGATACCAGAACTAAGAGGTGGATATACAGGTAAGACTTTGCATTGTAAGCTTTTTTTAGGAGATCCTGGGCTGTTGTGGACTGAGAAACAGCCTGTAAGCTGCTGTGATGGAAGCTGAGCAGGGGGTTACCCAACAAGTAAATGGTTCCTTATGGTCCAGTATCCAATATACCTACAACCTGCTCTTAGACCAGCCCTGACCACAAAGATCATAAGGGTGACTTGAAGTCATCTGTCTCTCCTCCCATGGGTAACACATTCTTACACAGGGTCGTTGCAGGTGAAGGATTGAATTTTAGCCTCACATGCTTAGTTAATACCAGATGTCTCACTGAAAAGCTCTTTGTAGACCTTTATAGTAACCCTCAAACGTCTGTATTTCTTGGCTTAGAGAAAAAGACTTATTTTGCTTTATGAGTTGCAAACTGGAGCAGTTCTTTTTTCTAAGGTGTGACACTAAACTTTCCTCCAGGGAATTCATTTAAAGAAGGATTAGTACTGTTCTTTGATGAGGTCTAATGTATTTCTTGGATTGTGTTTGTAGACAAGGTTCTCACCATCAGCAAAACAGTGAACTAGAAAAACACCATTGAAACAAGAAATTGAGCTGAGGCAAGACAGCCTAAGAATGGGATTCCAATATCTATTCCATACAATTTTTTCAAGAAAATTCATTAAATTACTAAATGGTCATCTGAAAAATAAATCTTGGGTTCCAAATATATACACCTCATTTACTGTGAAGTATGTATATTTGGCACTGAAACATAAAACAGACACTGCACTACTTAGTAAGAGCTAGTGGATAGAATGGTACTTGTAAGAACATATTTTTAAAAAGACATTGCATCTCTACTTTCCACATTTTAGTTCAAATAGACAGGGCCCAATCTGCAAAAGTTATTTATATTGCAACTGGATCCAGCTCAAATGTTCATGCTCTAGGGACTGGGCTAGGGGTTTTAATAATCCTTCTGCTATCCAGTTACTGAGAATGAAGTTTGCTTTATTTCTAGTGCTGAGCTCTTACTCTTGAATGTCTGTAACCCACCTCCTAGTTGGTAACAGTGCTTTTAAATCAATTTTTTTTTATTATATTCTGACATTATGTGCTTCTGTTTCAATGCTACAGAAAATAGGCTGCTGCCAGGATTGAATATATCCCACATGTTCCAATTTTGTTTTCATGTGAATTTGACCTCTGATACATAAAATTCCTATCTAGCAGTGTGCACATATGTGAGCCATTTCTGTAAGTGGGGAGAACAGAGCTCTGATTCAGCAGAGTGGAACATTCTTTTATAATGATACTCCAAGGAATTTCAAATTAACTAGTGTGTAAATTTATTAGCCTCTTCTATCAAATAAATGTTCTTTTTTATAGGTAGAGATTGTTGCTGTTCTTCTCGTATTCATTTTTTTTTTTTTATGTGGAAGGAATGAGAGGTAGCCAGTGCACTTGCATTTTATTTGAAAAAAACCCAGATTGTTCATTTTATTATCTAAGTTCTGAGGGAATTCTTGCAATTCAAGTGTATTGTTTTCCCTTGTGGCACCTTTGCTACTAGGAAGTTATGCAGAGACTAAGGATTAAAAACTTTGAATAAGCAAACAGGAGAAAAAAATCAGGGAGGGGGGAAAAACATTTATATATTGTCTTTTTTTTTCCCAGTGTAGTCTGCACCATGTCTAGAGTGGGTGCACAGAGCTAAATCACAGGTGTGATTATCTATTTTTAATTCCCAATAATTACAAAGCCAAATAATTCCTTGTCCCAGCAATTATATGAATTCGTGATTATAAGAACAAATGGGATTTGTGACACACTTTTTGATCTCTCATGTAAGCCAGGCACTACAATTTTCCTGATTGCATTTCTATGTATCATGTATATTTGTGATAGTTTTCAGAAACACAACCACAAATGTTCATTTTGAAAGTTCCAGCTGTGAGAAATTTCACTGCGAATACTCTATTGGTTTTCTTTCACTAAAAAAAAAAATATTAAAAAATAAAAAAAAAATTATTTCCATTCTGGATATAACTTAAATTTCTTTAAATTAAACCCCTCTTGAAATTCTGATTTATATTTCTGGGATTTGTGATGTTTCAACCATGGCTTTATAATGGGAAAAAAATCTTATTTCATTACCTGACCTGATCTTCCATTTCCTTTCCTTTGGGAAATGCTGTTTTCCAGAATTATGTATTTAGGAAATGAGGAGGAATTCCATACATAATGATGGCCCTAGACATTCTGTAGTTTTAAGTTACATTCTTAACAATATCTGCCTTAATAATTTCATACAAGGTTCCAGGGTTTAATGAAATGTTCTCCTGTAGCACCAAGAAAAATGTCTTACAAGACTGTACTGTGTCAAATTTCATATCTCTACTTGGAAAACATATAATCTCATATAAAAAACAAATCAGTTCAGCCATATGTATTTTATGGAAGTCTATATTGAATAATATAATTGAAATTAATTTTAGTTCTTTAGTAGTTTGTGTCATGGGCCAGATCTTGCATCCCTTTCTGTGGAATGTCATGTATTGATAAGCAGCAATTTAGAATAAGAGAACAAAGCCAGGATTCTCCAATCCCATCATCAGGCTATTCTGAGGTCATTCTAAGGATGAGTGTGTTTCAGTTTCTTCTTTACCGTGGTTATATTTATAAGAAGTTATTGTTGTTGTTTATTTTAAATGGGAATTCTCATGTTCTGGGAAATGAAGCTGAAAGTTCCTTCTGTTTGGGAAAATAAAAAACTTGCTTGGACAATGTTTGTTTTGCTTTCTCCTGCAACAGGCTGTCTGTTTCCTATTTCACATATGTAACAAGGAAAAAATTAATAAAACCACTCTGTGGGATATTTTAAAGCTATTTATTCTAGGATTTTAGTCTTAAGTCTCCTTTTTTTCCAACTTCTTATAACACAGTATTTACAACATGACTTCTTAGGTGAATTACATATTGCTTAGAACTTTATCACACTTCAGCTATTCTGTGAATTATGACAAAAACTTGGAATATTTCAGTGTTTTATTTCTACCCCCTTTGGTTTTGTTTGGTTTAGTTGCTGCCTAGTTTTGCGTTTGAGCTAATAGTAACTTTAGATGAGGGTTTATAGTCTTAGGAATCCATTTCTAGGAACTTCAAAATATCTCACTAGTTCCACATAAGCAACATTTCCTACTTTGGGACCTCCTCCCTTGCATTTCTGTAGGAGAAAGGAAGTGCATAATTATTAGTGCATAATTATTATTATACTCTGCCTGTGTTGGATTCTAACTTTCACATGGCAACTCCAGCATCTACAAACTTTCTGGGTCTTTGGATGTATGGAAAACCTGCAGATTTGCACTAGATTTGGGGATAAAGCTAGAATTTATTTGTATCTATCATGGCAGAAAAGTCTATTGTAAACTTTTCCTCTAACTGAAATGAGAAGTGGGAGATCAGATGGCAGCATTTTGTCATATAAATACCATTCTAATCTAATACATTTTTTGGAAGATATCTGTCTACCTTGTCTCCTAGTCAGCTGCATGTACTACTATTGTACAGGTACCTTTGGTCCAGCATGTCCCACACCTTTTGGGCCTATTGGGCCTGGGGGGCCTGCTGGTCCTGAAGGTCCCTAGTACAGGAGAGGAATAAAGCATATCAGTAGTTGTCCTAAAGGAAGAGTACTTGTGCTCTTCAACAAAGGAGATAATTTTAGCAATGGTTAATAATCTCTTTGGTTTTACTGTATTTTGTAAAATTCTTCACATTTCTGATGTGCACTTAACAACAGTCATCCTCTGTCCCAGGCAGAAACTTGAAAAGACCACCACAGTAGTGGAAAAAATGCCCAGCTCTTGACCTAAGAACATCAGAGTTGTTCTTAGCTCAGAAAACACAGCAAGAAAGCACACACTGCTTCAAGATTCATACACTGCAGATGTTATACATCTGGGATACCAGAGCTAGCCCCTCTAAATTTGGGGGTTGGGCAACCCAAACATACTTTAGCGTATTTGTGCTCGACAGTCTGTTCTCCTGAAATTCCTGCTCAATCCACCACAGCCCCCTGAAGTGCCCTTCATGCTGCTGGAGGCATCCCCAGCCTCCCTTTCAGCATTCATAGGGCAGATACCTTTGCCCCATCATGCTACAGAGACCTTAGTGACGTAAATCTTGTCCGTGTCTGCCAGGGGTTTACAAGGTTGATCTTCCCAGATCGTGGGGAATGGAAAGGCTGCCCAAGAAGGGGAATGATGCATGCTAGTGCAAACAGAACCCTCACTCATTTCAAGGACGTAGTCATGTGGCAGATGGAACACGTTCAGCCTTTACTGAAGCCTGAGATGGAGTTGCAGAGAAGCATGACTTTTATGGCGGTTGCAGATGCAAAGTCTAGAATAGACATGATTTCAGGAATACTATTGCAGAGCAAAACTTAATATTTTTAGTTGTCTAGTGACTGACAGAAATGCAGGAAGGGCACACATAGAAGTTTGTCATCTTGTTACTGGGCAAACTACAACAATCAGTTGTATAACTTTATTAATTAATGGTCACAAAATCAGGCTTCTCATGAATTATTTGATTAATTAGGAGGTAAATGTTTTTAACTTCTCACTGACATCTTTGCTCTGTTGCTACCAGCAGTTCTTTTTCATATAATTCAAATGGGTATCTTTACTTGTTGTGGGAAACTGTTCTTTTCTTCCCCACATAAGACTAAACAAAATGCCTTTAAGCCAGCAAAGGCCTTCTGCTGACTATTGTCAGCTAATGGCCTAAAACAAACTTGCTACTCAAGGGCAACTGAAATGAAAAGAACAGGTGTGGTACAGGACAGAACAGATGGGTGACAAGTCATACCTTGCCCCTGATAGTCACCATCCTAACTTGGAGCTCATGGACGCTCATTGGCTCTGGACAGTGACACTGACTGGGCAGGTGGGTCATGGGGGTATAAAAGGTGTCAAGTGCAGCAGGTGAGCCCCCCTGAGGCCTGTTCAGATGCTTTCTGCTTGGGAACCCCCCTCGCTGCAGAGCCTGGTGCTGGGACCCTGCCTGCCCTGCCTACCTGCCCTGGGTCCAGCCTGAGCCTCAGTGCTGAGCCTGCCGGGTCTCGAGCCCTGGGGTCGGGGCCAGAGCCCCCTTCGTGTTGCTGCTGGTTGCAGCATATATATACATATATATATGTGTATATATGAGTGTGTGTGTATATATATATATATATCCCTGGTAGCCATTTACATTTATATTTTCCGTAAACATCATCCCTCAGTTGGTGTTAACCCTTAATAAACCGATTAATTAGTGAAGTAAACATTGGTCTTAGAAGCAATTAGTGAGGGTGGTGGGGCTGCATTCCAACCTCCACCCTAAAACACAACCCCACAGTGGCCGTTCCTGATTTTTTTTGCCTCCTGCAGAATTCTGAGAATTCTAACCTAAGTGAATCTCATGCAGCCAGCCTTTGAGTTCTATGGCTACTTTCTACTGGATTTAAGACAGAGATACTAAACTGACACTTTTAATAAGACACAGGAGCCATGCAGTGAATGCAGTACCTGGTGGCATCTACCACCACCACCCTCTGACACACACACACAAGGCAAATAGACGTCAGCCCTTACTTGAATTTCCTCCACTGGCTGCTCAGTTCATATGAACTCATGAACTTGGCAATCAGATCTCAAGGCTGGAAACCAGACACATTATTTTCTAACTCTTACCAAAAAGGCAGGAAAAGACATGGGTGGCTGGTAGTGCTGGTGGGAGCAGTGAGGACAGGGAAGGAAAATGAAGACAAGGAACTTAAGTAATGTGGGAAGGGAGCAGAAGTACTGCAAAAGAGGACTCCAGACACTGTAGGAGTACCTAGGTGCATTGCAATAAATAGAAATATTAGGAAATCGGAGGTTACTGTCGTATGGCTGGGAATATTTGATCCAAATAAACCTAGTGTTTGTTTCATTGTTTATAAAAAAACTTGCTGTACTGGAAAGCACACTTCATAAATCTGCATGCCAATGTTATATTGTTCTTGAAGGAAGCTAAAGCAGTTATGAGCAGAGAGGGAAAGAAGCAATTCACTGAGGAGAGTAACATTCTAAGATTCAGATTACCTTCACATTCTGCAATATGGAAAACTAAAAGGGGAAGGAATTAACTACTTAAACTTCACTAATCAAATACTAATTATTATTTTTTTTGGTACAGTTACAGACCCTAATAGCAATGTAGGAGAAAGTCATAGGCTAGAGTTTCTCCTAAATCAGAGAGTTATTACAATGTTTGATGTCCCTGGTCACAGACACTGAAGCCAGTGGTGTTTCACTAAAACCTGCTATTATAAAATGGTATGGATAATCACACTTGCCTGTCTTTTTTCAGTTGCCTGGTAGAAAACTGTAGAGAAGCCATACCTGCTTTGCTTTAAATCTGGTGTTTAAATAACCACAATGGAATATGCTAACTAGGAG